GTTTGCAGCCTGAGAGCTCGCTGGGTTTCTGCATGATGCCATTCGAACAAAAGGGTGATGAGAAAGCAGTTCCATGGCTGGGGACTGATTGCAATTTGTGTCTCATTTTGGCTTCGCTCTCTGGCACTGACCCAGCACAGTAAAGCACAGAATGGTGTGACACAGTCCTCCAAATAATGGGTTTCAACTACATCAGCATTTAGCAATGTTTGCTAGAATTTCACTTCCTAAATGTTAAATAGAATCTCTTGCCGTGGCCATTAGATGGTGAAACAGATACTGGAATCCATGTACAGCCACCCCTCTTTCTCCCTGCAAAATTTGATAAAAGTTTTGCTGAATAAGGACTTCAGGATTTAAATATTGGGTTGTCTCTAGAAGTGCAGAGCCAGCAAAGAATTGCATTTTTAAAAATGACCATCCAGCCACTGGCTACGGAAATAACCCCTAACACAAAACTGCAATTAGAACTGGACAGTCAGACTAACTTTACAGAACTTGCCCAAAATATTTGCTGGCTTGAGAGCCACGGGGGTGAACCTTTGTGCTTGCCATAATTTTCCATCATTAATTTGAGTTTTTTGTCTCTCAGCTAATTTGTCACTGTGTAAGTCCATTTCAAGCATTTGCAGTTCAGTGCACAGCATTAAAATTTCGTAAGCAATTTTAGACTCATGTATCCAGAACAGAGCACAGCAACAAGTCAGCTTGTTATTGAAGATGGAAGCAAAGAGTTGTAACCTTCGTGCTGTTATTTAGAACTTGTAATAAAGTGGAAGCAGTAACTGTGGTGAAATAAAAAAATATGGTTCAAATGTGTAAGTAACTCTCTTTGCTCCCTCGTAAGGCCATGAAAAAGTAGCTTCAGAGCAACTGTAACTTAGTTCATCCCAATTAGGGATGGTTGGCAGCCCCTCTGTACCAGTCTGCACCAGTAGGTCACAGCCAATTTGGAGGAATCATTATAAAAAAGATGCTGGTATTATAAACCACACTCCTATAAAGGATTAAATATGATCAAAAGCTGGAATGTCTTTGATTCCAGTCCTAGTGGCTCTTATTTTCTGTTCTGCGTGATCAGATCAGTCAACACATAATATATAGGCATTTTCCTACCTCTATGGAACAGGAATTGCTGGATGCTCCAGGGAAATTCAGGATGCTGACATAACTGCTGGCATCCTGGCCACAAGTACAAGGCTCACTTTAGAATGAAAATTGTTCTCTTCAGTAATGGGAACACCAGTTGCAATTGTTTCTGTCCTTTTTCAGATTTCTGAAGGGTCCAAAATCGTTGAAGCTTTCTGAATCACTGAAATGTTGTTCCTTAAGAACTGCATTTAAAGATCTCTTGACTTATGAAATCCATTTTTCTATTCAGTGGGATGTATCCACCCAAGTGGGAAGATTTTGAGTACAGGATTTTTATTTCATCTGGATGAACTCTTCAATATGTACATCTGGCAGCTCCTCTACAGAACTGATGGTCACATCTGCTACAGAAAAAGCAGCTAATTGCTTTTTCTTTTCTTTTTTTTTTTAATCACAGAAGTGCTGCTTCAAAAATCCCAGCAAAGGAACTTGCTCTGCTATTTTCTGGAGTTTCTTTTCCGTAAAGGCTGCAAGTGTTCCCATTCCTGATGTGCTGTGTTGGGTTTGTGTGGCCAGGTTTTGGTAGCTGGGGGGGACACAGGGGTGGCTCCTCTGTCCAGTTGCAGAGGGCACTGATGGAGTGGCTTTGGTGGGCACCTGGTGTCCAGCCAAGGTCAACCCACCCCATGAACTTCCTGGCTTCCCTCCCTACATCAGCCACACCAACCAGCAGCAGCACAAAAAAGCTCTTCAAACCCACGTACTTTGTTGTTGTTACACAGGACAAGCTTTCATCCAATTTTGCATTGTTTGTTCTACCCAGTGTGGGTAAAACAACAGAAAACAGTATTTAAACTAACGAAAAGAGACTCCTTTCTGCATGGTGGTTTAAACAAGATGCTTAAACTAACAATAAACGTTCATCTTGATGTGTTTCATTGCACAGATAACTGAGAACCCAGTTTGTCAATAAAGAGGGACTATGCAAATCATTCTACCACTTATGGAAATACCAACAAAAGCTGAATTCTCACCTACAGAGAAGCAAAGCAGAAGGATTTTGCTCCTATTGAGTGATGAATTCTAAAGAAAGGATAAATAAATGCTTATTCAGTCATACAAATATACACTGTAAAGAAATCTTATGTAACATCTTTGCTGCCTGTAGTTAACTAAAGTTTAGGAAGTGCCCAATTGTCACACAGTAATTACTATGCCATTTAACCCATCCTGTTTTTAAGCTTCTCCAGGGATCACGACCAGTTCCTACCTCTGACTCACCCTCTGCCACCCCCAAAATGGGGCTGTGACTGGATTCTTAGGAACAGCATCAATCTCCAGTGGCATTTTTACTTCCCAGAGGCAGCACCACAGCCCTGCTGCAGACTGGAGGTACTACGAGTTCCATGGCAACTACCAAGGCATGTGGAACACTTTAATTATATTGGAGCTTTTTCCTCCTCTTCGTTTTTCCCTTTTTTTTTTTCATCCCCAGCTATGCTGCCTTAGAGTTTGCAGGCAAATAGTTATTTTTAGCAGCTAACACATCTTTCAGATCTCTGCTAGAATCTCAGCTAGTTCTCTTCTCATGACGTTTTAAGCACTGAGAATTAGGTTGTAAAAATGCAAGTTAAAAATTTGAAGCTTTTTAAGAGACAACTTCCCACCTGATACCCAGAATATTTGGCAGATTTGATTTTGTAGATGTGCATGAGCATTTTTAAACACTTTTGCTGTTCCAAATGCTGTAAACACCAGGACTATGCTAACAGGGATCTGTGGGAAAATTTGAGTGATGCCTCCTCACACTATACCCACCTCATGATTTTATTACTCATTCATTTTAAGCTCTAATCTAGGTTATTATGCCACACCCATCACCATGGGAATGGCACTTAAAAGGACCAGAAATACTTTACTATTCAGCTTTTCCTCAGAACTTCCAGTGTGATCTGATTGCAGTTTCAATATCCAAACCCTCTTTGAGGAGTTCCAGCTGACAGATTAAAACCCTCAGTAATTACCAGTATCTTCAGTGCAACAATATGGAGCCCTTGACAGAAGAGTGAATTACAGATAAATGGGAAGGGAGCAAGTTAAATGCATTCCTAACCATGAGAGAAACAGGAGGGATAACTCCCCATCCCTAATTAACTGTGTCTTAGAGCAAAGGTAAATAGAGGAGGAGTTTTACTTACTGGTTCTGCACCATTTTCTCTGACTGCCTCCTCCACAGAAAGGACCATTGAAAAGAGAAGATTTAAAAGAATAAGTCAGAAGACACCTCTGAGTGCCCCAAATGTTGTATGATCACCCTTACTTCAAGTTAATTCTAAAATTAAACCCAGAAATTACACAGTCCCTGCCACAGGCTGCCTGTGATCAACACATGCATCACAAAAATCTGATTTTAAGAAAAAATAAGTATTGCAGGAACTTCTATAGAAGTTTTCTTTACAATTTGAAAGGCAAAGGAACAGCAAAGGAAATTATTCTAGTCACAGCTGGTTTGTTTATCTACTCTAATCAATACTTAGGTGATTGAGGATGAATTTGTTGTGAACAAAGAGGTCACACAATTTTCATCTTGTGGTTTCTGGGAGCAAGGCAGAAGCACGTGAGTATTGTCCTGCTACAGCAGCAGCATTTTATAAGAGCCATTAAAAAACCATCTTCTGAGGTGTGGAGAGAGAAGTGGATGTTTCAAATATGAGCAGCTTCACACACCCAAAGGTGTGTGCCCTGGGAATTGTTACCTCATGCCCTGCATCCCAGTATCATCACGTGGGAGTGATGCAGCACAGGAGCTCGGGAGGGTTTGTGTAAACTGGCATTACTGGATTTAACTCCAGGGAGGAGGAGAAGGCCTGGAGAGTTTTTAACTCCATGGGAGGAGGAGGCCTGGAGAAAGTGCCAGATCTCCACCTGCTTCCCCAGAGAGGTTCCTTTGCAGGTGTGTAGAAGGTGGAAGCAACATATTGTTGGTCTCTCCTGTTACAGAAATGCTATTTCTCCTCTAAATTAGGAGGAAAAAGCCTTTCCTTTCAGCACATACAATGAACATTTACCTTGAGTTGCTTTCCAAATGCAGCCACATAAACTGAACTGGGGGATGCTGCAAAAAGGTTTTTCAGCCTCTCAGAAGACAAGCTGTTCATATATAAAGGCACTTTGGGTTTCCCTTCCTGTAAAGTTTACAGGAAAAAAAAATAAATTTAAAGGCTTTAACTGCAAAAAGCCTGGGCTTCCCTCAAACATTGAACTGCAGAGTGTATTAATATCACAGATTTTAAGATCTTTGGCCAACATGCACTAACTGCAAAGCTGAGAATTGTAAAGAATTAAGTTCAGTCTGATGTTATCTTACAAAAAACACCTTTGACGTCCCCCCTTCACAAGTTTTTTCTTAGCTACTTAAAAATGCTTTGGTTTACTCCGGTTTACTTTGGTTTATTATGCATCTCACTTGGCTGAAGTGGCACTTCACTTGGGAAGACTTTTCCTGCGTTTATGGAAGGCCAAATGCTTTACCAGCTCCCAGGAATAGTTTCATCGATCTACTGCTCCCTCTCTTGGCAATGTGAGTAAGGTACAGTCACTTCACCTACAGCTCCCTCTGAAGATAATTGAGAAGGGGAAAAAAAGTGTTAATCAGCACAAGTATAACACTTCTAAGATTCAAAAGTGGGCAACTCTTCAGCTTATAAAAACTGGATTTTATGGCAAGGCTCTATTTAATAGCTAAAATAATTTTAGCAGCTCCTTGGTTATAAAAATCTGAACCCAACAGTTGTGGCCCTTCCAAAAATATTTAATTTTATTCATCCTCATTTTGATCGGCTTGTTTTTCTAATTATCTTCAGCAGCTAAATTTCAAAAACTAGCATATTGCTGCTTTAGGACTCCAATTAAAAGCTCTTTACCTAAAAGCCCATTTATTAAACCTCTGTACACAACCATGAACATGTATGTACAGCAAGTTTACATGAAGGATGATGGTACAAAAAGTACAGTGATAATTAAAACAGACCCACATAAATAATTTATAAAAATACTTGAACCGGTGAAAATAGCACTGTAATCCCCCATTATCTTCATCCAGTTGCCAGGACTCTGATGTGGGAAATCTTAACATTAGACCTTTTTAAAAACATTCTGAATATATTAAACTTATCTACAGGATAATTAGCAAAATGTATAAAATGTAGATTATTGTACAAAGGACAGATATTAAAAAAATCACCAATCCACCTGAAACTCAAGGACAATATAAATCTTAGCCAAAGTAATGAACACCAAACCACAAACTCCTCTTTTTAGAGTGTTGAGTATTGGCAAGTAAAATGCTCTTAACAAATCAGCAGTCCTGTTATTCCTTAGTGGAATTTGGGAAAATTCTACATTTTCTGGCTGCATTGGTGGTCCTGGTCAATGTGGAAGCTCTGCACTGACTTCAATTCCAAGGAAGAACGGGGCAGAAATGTATTTGTCAAGATTTTCCCACCAGAGGATGAGGAAGGTCATCTGAGTTTGCAAAACTGGAGGAGGAAACAGAAGGAAGCTGGGATTTGGACATAAGAAAACAAAGGAAGACCAGTTAAGGTTTAAGTCTTTTTCTTTTGCTGGTTTCTTGGGGAGTTTTTTAACACGCTCCTTATCCGTAGATAAACCCCTGTGGACTCTGCCATGTTTTCAAACTCAAACGGTGTTATGCCTTCTGCAAACTTGCTCATGTCAGGAACAAGACTGTATTTTTTTGCAGGTGATTCAGTGCTTGTGGCCACTTTATTCCCTCCTGTATTTTCCCCATCATCCACCTCAGGGTTGGGAGCAGGAATGGTGTTATCCAGCACGCCTTCAGAAAACGCATTATCGGGATCTTCCTCTGTGTTAAGTAAAGTGTCTCCTGGATTAGGACTAGTTAGAGAATGTTCATTTTCTGGTGTCTGGTCACCCATGTCAGAAAACTCAGTTTTTACTTGGATCACCTTCTCAGGTGACTTGCCTTCTGCAAACTTGCTCATGTCAGGAACAAGACTATATTTTTTTGCAGGTGATTCAGTGCTTGTGGCCACTTTATTCTCTCCTGTATTTTCCCCATCATCCACCTTGGGGCTGGGAGCAGGAATGGTGTTATCCAGCACGCCTTCAGAAACCGCTTTATCAGGATCTTCCTTTAAGACAAGTAAAGTGTATCCTGGATTAGGACTAGTTATAGAATGTTCATTTTCTGGTGTCTGGTCACTCATGTCAGAAAACCCAGTTTCTGCTGGGATCACCTTCTCTGGTGACCTGCCTTCTGCAATGAGATCCACCTCATTCCTGGATGGTGAGGATGTAACGGAATTCCCAGTTATAGGTGTGTCCACAGGGATATCAGAGTCACTGTTGGTGCTCTCTGCCTGCTCCAGAGCTGCCCAGATCAACCTCTGCTGTTCCTCCAGCTCCTCCAAGGTCAGGGTGTCCTCATCCATGACAGAGTCCACTATTTTTGGCTGAGGAATATCACTGGAAGGGTTCAGTGGAGCAGTCCTGGGCACAGGGGAGCGGGTGGGTGTTGAGGGCTGAGGGGGGGTGAGGGGGGGTGTTCCTAGGGGTATGGGAGGAGGGGTGGACATGGATGGAGATCCAGGTGGCAGAGGGGGTTGGAACTGAAAACTGTTGGGAGTTTGGGATCTCTGTGCCGCTTCCAGATCTAGAAAGAGATTAAATGACACCTGTTAGAACCTGAAATCTGAGACCAGGACAAGACTCAAAGTGTCCCTGTTGTGATTAACTACCAGATTTATGTCTTCTCATCCTTGAACGAACTTTGTGAAGGTTTTAATATCCACCAAAATCATGGGTTTTGGGATTTTTACTCTGCTACTTATTCAAGGAAAAAAAAACCTCTTGAATGTATTAAGAACAAACTCATTCCACACTGAAGGATTCCTCGCAGCAGATCCAGAAGGAAAGCCAGAAGTTTCTCCAGCTCTTTGAACATTTAAATAACACTAAGTCCTCCTTGAGATTGACTCACTTTTTAAGAAGCTGAAAGCTTGTAACTTCTATGTTATTTCATCCAAATATTTAAAGATTTAGAGGTCTTCTGTGAAGAAGTTTTTTTGGGATATACCTGAAGTAAGGAGATCAGAATTTGTGACCTAACATTGCAATTGCTCTGAGCACCCCTGAAACCTCCTCCTTGGGATGGAGGATCTGACAACCCCTGTGACAATCACAGCAACCCAAAATGCTCATTGCAGAGATGCCAAATGCCACTGGGTAGGACACAGGTGGCACATGTCAGCACTGCCATTAATTACCACCAGAATGACCACTGACACGCTGCCTCCTCCTTTTAACTCCGGCGTTTTAATTCAGAGCAAGTTATTTTGAAAATAAAAATGGAAATTAGGGAAAAAAAAAAGTGCAGAGCGACTGTACCAGAGTCCAGGTCCATGTCAGCTGCTGCTACCTCCAAACTGTCTTCTCTCTGTCGTTTTGAATGACGAGACTTTGACTGAGGTGCAGCCCTTTTATTGCTGGATTTTCGACTGAGCTGAAATTATCCAAGAGAACAAAAAGAATTAGTATTAAACTGTACAGGGTAACATTTCCAGCTATAAGAACCTACTTAAAGGGATTTTGTAACTATATAAAGATTTAGGGACCCAGAGTGTAAACAGACATTGACATTTGAGGGATGTCATGACTATGGTAACTAAGCTTTTCATTATTAGGGGAATCTGGAACTAAGATAATTTTTAGGCTGGAAAAGTTTATAGCAATCTTTTTTCACAACTGTTTATAAATCAGTGCAAAATATTAACTAAATAATGGAATTTATTCTAAACATGAAGCAATTTTGGTAAAACAGAGAAGCCAGATCAGCATTTCACATCCCTTTGGTGTCAACAAGAAACTGTCCCCTTGTGCAAAAAATGCAGATATTAAGCAAGAAATCATTAACTACACTGACTGCATGACAACTCTTTTTGTTTATAATAACAAGGAGATACATTCACCGCCTGCAAATTAGAAAGGTACTGAGCAAAAACATCCTTCTGCTGAGAGGGCTGCATGGGGATGGAACCAAAGATCTGCCACTCCTACAGCAAAGAGAAAAAAAACAGAGAAATAATGTTGCATGTGGTTGGTTAATAACACAACAGTAAAAATTAAAGGAAACACTAAGAGATTAACAAGACAAAATGAATTTCTCATCAAAAGCCTCATTAATCAGAGTAATAACTAGATTTGGACATTTGTAACACAACTACAAACTTCCCCTTGAAATAACTGTTCAGACAAAAAAGGCTTATTTTAAAAAACTTAATTTTTAGTGAAAACTTGAAAAAGCTTGAGAATAGAACTTTGGTTAAGAATGAAGAAACACTAAATGGGCAAATGTAAAGCTGCAAGTGCTCAAGTGGTTCTTTTTAATGCACAGGCATTACATCAGTGACCAAATTCACCACCAGCAGGTTAAAAGGCTTTTGAAAATCAAAGTGCAGCACCCACAGATTTTTTTGTGTGCTCTCAGCTTAGGAGAGCACCCACTATGTGGGTCTTTGACTTGTTTTTGTTCTGGTTGTTATACAGCTTTGCAGAGGTTGTGCAGTTACTGGTCTGATGCAGTTTCTGTGGCTGAAATTGTAACACCCACAGTAATTTTCCTACTTCACCTTCAGAAAATTTACATGTAGGGAAGGAACAGCCATTCATGTGTGAAGTTTTGTGTTTAAAAAATACTGAATTATCCTTCTGGGCTCCTGATGGTCTCATAATGGAATTAACCCCCACAGAAGCACTGTCAGACCTACCCCCAGGACTCATGACAGGTATCAGTCAGATTGATGTCCCATAAATTACAGTCCCCAGCCCCAAACCAGGGGCTTCAAAATAAGAGACTGTTGAAAGAAAATTGTCAGGTGCAAAATATAAAACTAAAAGCATTTACTGTCACTCAGCATGTTATTTAGAAGGCAGAGAACAGGTACTTACATCTGGGATGCCACTGGGAGTGGATATATTAAAGCCTGGATAATTTACCAACTTGGAGACATCGTAAGTGATACCTTTGTGTTGAGGAGACTCTTCATCTTCTCCATCACCATCACCTGTAAGGAAATATAATTATTAGTGATGTTAATTAAGAACTGAAAGTTACTGGAAAAAATCCACAGGATTTAAGAACGGGGTTTTGGAACGTAAGTATTGGTAGAAGGTTTTGTAATCCACAAGGGCAGTAACAGTGACCAAATCCATCAGGTACCTGCATGAAGCTTCCCCAGAAACCCAGCTGGGGATTCCTAAAACCCCTGCTCTTCATGTACCACTAATATCCTCAGAATTTGGCCCCAGGGACAGTTCTGAGATGCAGAATAAACTTTGGCCAGAGCAAAGAGCTGATAAATTACTTTCTAAGTTGGGTTTCAAGAAACGCGTTGTTTGCTTGCTGGTCTTCTTAGTCTTCCTATATACAAGGGAGTTACTGAACTTGAGAAAGTGTTATGATGCCAAGAGAAAAGGAAATGATGCCAATAACACCAAGGTTGTGGGTTTGATCCCAGTATGGGCCATTCACTTAAGAGCTGGACTTGATGATCCGTGTGGGTCCCTGTGATTCTGTGATGTGCAAGTCCTGCGGAGTTTCACAGGAACTCCAGGTTCTAACGGTGAAATCACACTGACAATCTTCATCTGTGCAATCCAATCATACAGAACTTGTCTCACTGTTACATCACAGCTCGATAAAGAAGGAGCATTTTTACAAGACCAGAAAAACTTGATTTGCAACTTTCTCCCTCTTGCACGAGGAAGACGAAGGTTTACAAAGCAGTCACTTTACTGTCTCCTGGGTAGGGTGCAGCCAGAGGACAGCAGGCATACTAAAAGTGCATTCCAGCCCCACATTCCTCACCTTTTCCATCATAAAGAGCAAGTCCTGAGTGCTCCATCTCGGCCTCCTTGAGCCAGCCCGGGGGATACCCCAGCTGGCGCATGCGGTAGATGAAGGGAGGGAGGCTCCTGTCGGTGACACCGAGTGCATCCTGGAGGACCACACTGAGCAAGAAAACAAACACAAAACAAAACAGAAAACAAAATTACAGCAAATTCTGGAATTGCTGACAAAAGGTAGTTGAACATTTTCTGCATTTTACACTGTCGAGTTAAACCAGCTGAATTTTAGCTCAAACTGAGTTGCTTTTCAATCCCAGCTGTAACTATTTTAGATCCAAACCAGCTCTGATATTCAGTATAACTTTTTGCATTTCTCACATGCTTTAACAGAATTAATTCTACACCAAGAATAATTTACTTAACCTGCTACTTCTGATTCATGTCACACTCACAACCAGCAGGGTGGAACTCAACACTCAATTTACTGGGGGATTTTTTGGAGACTGCCACATAAAACTATGATTCTTTTAAACATTTTGAACAGAGAGGAAGGGACACTCAAAGCTCCAAATTTTCACAATTTTGCATGCTTTTTTTAGTTTATTAGGATCATCATAAACCTGCAATATGAGAAGTCAAAGTGGAACATTTGTCTCCCTAAATTAGGGAAAGGACCACGGGAAAGGGGAGGACCACCAAGCTGGCGACGAGTTTTCATCTGAAAAATATCTTTGCCATTTATTAAACAAGATTCTATTTAGCAAATTCAAACACAATAAACCCACAGTTTGAAAATCTGGCACTCCAGAGGTCAAAAGGGTATTCCAATGGAGGGGAAAGAGATACCTGATCACTCCTGGCTTAAATTTTCCAAACCTCTCTTCTACTTCTTCCTCGTGGTAACGCTGCTGAAAGTTCTGATTGCTCGTGTCCCCACAGGCTTCCAAAAACTCCTTTCTCTTTTCACTTATCCGAGCTGCATTTCGTGGCTTAAAGACAAGAAAATTGGGAAGTTTAGAGTTAAAGTCACAATTTATATATATTATTACATATTACTGTAATATTTTACAACATCAACCGGCACTGCCTGCCCTCCTCATGCTCAGTTTGTTGATCACACAGCCCAGAGATACAACCAGGTGTAATGGAAACCACACAGCAAATCCCAGGAGTATTTGCCCTGGACCTGGAGAGCTCTGAAACAGGAGGAGATTGTTCAAAGTTAAAACCTTTTGGGTTTTATTTGTATTTCTTGTCCATCTAGCGAGAGAATCTGACTGAAAACTTGCTGATAACTTCAGATTTCAATAAGAAACTGCTACTGGATGAAGCAAAGTTTCCCCCACAAATAAAAAGAGGCAAACCATGATGTTACAACACGAATTTCCCTTCTGATTTAGTATGTTAGAATTTATAATATGAGCAGTATAATCTAATCAATAAATGAATAAAACCACTCATCCATTCTGATCCCAGCACCTCTAATGCTTTTTTAAATGAAACATTTCTTGGAGAGCAGCAATCTTTGGAATACTGGTGATGACTTTACCTGTGGACAGTCTTTCATTTGATGGTCTTCAGAACCACAGTTGAAACAATGAGGTTTGGGCCTGCTTAAAAAATGCACAACAAATTAAGCCTGAAAGCAACTTTGCAGTGTTAAATGAAAGCACTTCACAATTTTTGTTCTTGACAGATTTTTAGGTTTAGACTTCCTGAGAAAGAAACCAATGAAAACCTGGAATGGAACTGCAGCTCCCTTCAACTTTCATTTTCCTTCTAAATTCATGCCATGACAGCAAACACTTGCAATATCACTGGAGGGGAAACCAAGATTTTAGAGAAAGATTTCTTTTCTCAACATTCATTTTTACCCAATTAGGATGAGAACCAGAATGGAGATGAAAGGGTGGCACCAGAATAAGTGTCCAGGGCCACTCCCCAAACACTCCAACCTCCTGAAGCCTCAAATGAGATCAAGTGAAGTGTCTCGTGTCTCATCTTCACTCAAACAGGAACCTTCTGTGGGGATCCAAGTATTGCATCACTGTCCCATACCAGGGCACAACCCTTCCATCTGCTTTCCATTCAGTAATATTTCTAATCAAACCACTTTAGCTCAGCATTCCCCTTTATCTTTGAAATTCCCACTAAAAGCTTTCCTGGTCTTCTCTGCATCTGAAATCAGGGATTTTAGATGCTACAAACACCAAACCAGTTGTCAGCTGGAAACTGAATTCACTTTGCTTCTTACCTCTCATAAAAACTACACAATCATCCCTGAGATCAGTTAAAATTCTATTAATTAAATAAGTCAGACAGGAGTTACTCCATAAAACAATAAGAATTATGACAATACACCAGTGTAAGGATGACAAACTAATCACTAAAAAGACAAGGAACAGAGGAACTGAGTATAAAATTCACAAAGTTTTCACACATTGACTTTAGGCCCTTCCTAAAGAAAGTCAGTAAAGACCCACAGACTGCAAAGCTCAGCTCTGGTTTAATTAATTTAAACTCATTAAGTATGTCCAATGGTTCATTAACTGGGGAATAATCACAGAGTACATCTGAACTCTTCAGTTCAAAACTTGATATTTAAGAGTAATACAAACCTTTTGGGTTTTACTTGTATTTCTTGTCCATCTAGGGAGAGAATCTGGCTGAAAACTTGCTGATATCTTTAGATTTCAATAAGGAACTGCTACTGGATGAAGCAAAATTTTAATTTTGTTTAAAATATCAGTGAAAACTTCATAATGCTTTGAATACTGACTTTTCTCCATTAAGTTACAGATGGGTCCTTGATATGAAATCCAGAGTATAAACTATAAAATAATATCTACTTTAAACTATCTGCTAAGATGAGCTTATGCTGTTTCCTCATGCAAAGTTTGTACTCAATATCCAATTTTGCTCTTTATCAGCACTTTATCAGCTAAAACTAAAATTCTCTTGTTTATAGACAGAAATTTCAAGGTAATAATTCTGAAATGCCTTACAGCAATCTTATTAAAAACATAACATTTTGTTTAATCTTAATAAAAAGGTCACATTTTGTTAGAGCTTCAAAAGTGCACGTTGAGTGCAGCACTTTGGTCATTTAGAAGCCAGCACCTGATGCACCATTTCACTCAAAAAAGTGCTGGTTTAGGCTTAATATCATCTCTGGGAGCTCTAAAGAAAGATGCAATAAGTACATTTAAAGAACAATATCAAAGTTAAGCTGGAAGACATGGAAGGCATTTTAGGAGAAACTCCCCTGTTAGGAATCTACTCCCTTCATCCAGAGGTTGGGGGATTGTAAATTTGCAATCTCTGTTCAGGTACAAGCAATTTTTTAACACCAGGAAATGACCTTTATTACAACTTGAGAAGTAGATACTGCAGAAATGAACTGGGAAATTGGTTCTTGTCCTGAATATTTCCAGGGCTGAAGCAATACTGGAAATCTGGGGATGATGTTACTTCAGAAATTTCTTGTCCCATTTGTTTTTGCCATGGGAGACTACAGTATTAAAAAGTATTTCAACATTTCCCAACTTTTTTGGACGTTTTCCTCAACTCCACCTTTCAACCAGTGGCTTTAATAAACAGTAAAGAATCACATGGATGCATGTTAAGAGCATTCCATAAGTCCATTTTAACAAAAAACCATCTTACAGGATATTTGAGTTTGCCAAACCCTTTTCTTCTCCCTTTTATAGAGGCAGAAAACTTATTCAACCTGCAATGAGTTGTCATTCCAAACCTAATCAGGGACTGGCCCAGGAAATTCCTAAATTCACAAGATGTATTTATAGGCATAAAGCATTCACTCTTCCCAAGGATAAGGCTAAAAGTCAACAAGTCAATCATATCAAAATACTTATTGCTTTTGAGTGAAAAAGCCACTAATGACTCATTAAAACCTTCCATCTCTAATGACTGATATGGTTTCAATAGAAACATAAAATCTACTGAAGAGAATTGGAGTTCAATTTACCAACTGGAATTCTTTGGCTTTGACAAACAGAGAGAATAAAGATGTTTTAGCAAACAGGATACTTTGGGATTTCCCATCCTTCTGTCAGCTGTGGATTCTCATTTAATATGGGCTGTCCCAGTTTATCGAGACAAAAATTGGTAAAATACACAACACTTCCTACAACCTGCAGAGAAAAAGTCAGAGAATTGTCAGAAATGTGTCAGTATTTAGGTGAGATCTGTAGCATTTCTATAAATTCACACTGCTTGAAATAATTGCAGGCTTTTTCCCCCATTCTGTAAGAATTTACAAATAACACACACCCACACCTGGACACATAAGATTTTTTTCACTGATGTAGCCAAAACATGCTGAACTTAAATTTGATTTCTCAGTGTAACAGCAGTGAACAGATCTTATTTTAATGGCAGTAGAATATGTAGAATGAAGAGTCGGACCTACCATGGAAGAGCACAGTCAAAAACTTACACTAAAAGCCTCTTTCATTTTTTTAGCAGAAGATGAGCTGGCTGTTTTATAGTCCTCTTCCAAAACAACACTGGAGGGCTGGCAGGAAAAGCAAAAATCAAAAGAATTAACTGGAAATAACGGTAAATAGAAGAGCTCCTGAGCTAGTGAAGTTTGGAAAAGGCACAGAATGTGGAGTTCAGCTGCTGTCCTTTGGAGATGTCCACATTAGTCATGATGCTTCCCAGAGTCCAAAGCATGACACAGCTCATTTCTAATGCTTCCTTTGATGAGAAATACTCTGCACAACAACATCTTCATTCTCATCAGAAAGCTCAGGGGAAGATGGAGGGAAATCTGCCATTCCACTCGTTTATTCAAACTGAATGTTGGGTAAAACTCAGAAATCTAAACTAGGAGAAGAAAGTGTAATTTTTCAGATTTTGTTTGATATTCTCTTATATATGCTCAGAGTTGGGCCAAACACACCAGAAGAGGATGCATTAAGTTTATACTTTGCAGTCTTTTCTTGATTATTTAAACCAACTTCTTAATTTGCCTTGACTGAAATTTCAAAGAAGCATTTCCACAGGCAGAAAAGATCTTTTCTTTATCCTGGGCTCTATTTTTGGCACAAATGGTTACACAACATTTGTTTGTTACTTGAGCTCAGTTTTGTTACTATTTAACAGCACAGCATTTCAATATCCCCACTGGAAAGATGTGAGAGAAGGAACATCTCAGAACAATTGGAATTTGGAAATACCTGGGGTTTAGCGTTCAGGTGTTTTTTTTCTTGCTCACATTTCTTCTGCTCCTCATATCTCTGAACTAAGCTAAAAACAAAATCTTCAATTTCCTGGCGGTACCGCCTGGCACAGAGGGAAGGAACCAGCACAGAGACATCAGACACGAGCAAGGCTCAAACAAAGGCCAGATGGCTTTTTTTTAAGCATTTACCACTTCTTAAAGACCTCAGAAAAGAGGCAGTGAAATTCTTTTCTGTCCCATTCCCACCCTCATCCGAGGTGAATACAATCTGTTATTTGAGAGCACCCTGGATGTGGCATAAAATCAACTCAGGCAGGGAAAATTTAATTTCCTGCATTTACCCACAACATTCCTGAAATTCAAACTGCTCTTCAGACTCACCCCGAGATCGTCGAAGCGACATCCATTTCATGAGAGTTTCAGATATTCAGATAATTACAGATATTGCTAATGAAAGCAATATTGCTTTCATATTGCCCATTATTCCTTCTCCCTTTCAAGTTTAGCAGTTTATGTTATTAAATAAAAAGTACACCCATCCATTGGGCACAGCACTAATATACCCAAATGAACAAAAAAATTCCCATTTCCCGTAAGGATTGTTTTTTATTTGGCAATACTTACTTAGAAATGACATTGTTCATAAATAAAATCTGCAAGAGAGGCCCATCAACTTTGGAGTTTTCCACTGAGATTCCGCTAGGACAGAACAGAGACACAAACAATGGTCACAGTGAATATTCCCCATCTGTTTTATTCCACAGGTAGAGGAAGGTTTGGCCAATACAAGTTTTATCCTTTTAAGAAGTTCCTATCCACTTAATCACCCTCCTTTTAAGCAGGTTGGCTGGTGTGAAGTGGAAAGAAAATAAATTAGAACATCACACTACAAAAATACTCATATTCTGGAGGAACAGAAATCTATTCATGCTCTTATAACTGCAGTAAACTTATAAATGAGATCTCTTATTTACTGAAATATTTGATTGAACTTTACACTAAAACTGTTTCCCTAAAGGCCACATTTCATAAAGAGTCAGATACACACAAATAAATTAAGTTACAGTGACACCAACTAAGTCCTTGATATTCAACTTCAAAAGACTTTTCAAGAACTGAAATGGCATTTTAGAAGCCCGATAACTGAGCAGGGACTAGGACATGGAAAGAAGGTTTAAAAAGATGTGGGAAATTGTTATCTCAGACAAATTCTATTTATATATACATATATATACATATACACACATATAAATATCGGCATTAACATACCTGGGACAAGTCAGAATATTCAGCTTCCTTTTAAGTTCCCGATGTTAAGTTATGGTTAAGGAATATGATTTTCTTTGGAAGACACTCCCCCCACCTTAATTACCAAACCAAACAAGAAAACACTGAAGAAAAATTTTCCAGACTAACAAATAGGATTTCAGACCCTCCTTTTCACCACACAGGAGATTATTTACAAATCCACTTTTTGCTGAGGAAACACAATAAAAAGAAAAAAAAAATACGAAAAAGCAGACCAGCTGGGACAATCTCAACAATGCAATTCATGCACAGTGCACTAGGGCTGTATTAACAGATTTGTAACACTTTATTTTAAAAAACTCTGTCATCACCACAAAACAAAAGGCAACAGTAATACACCCGTACTTGTAAATGGGAAATAAACGACAATACCCGTTTCAGATCCCACTCTGCTGCAGTGGCAAACCCAAAACTCCTTTAGGGAACCCGTCGCAATTTAACAATTTAAAATTATTTGTAGCTACGCTAAAAATGGACTGTCAAAGTGAACACACAGATGTTTCTTTTCCCTAGGAAGACAGAAAGCAGGAGTTCAGCGACAGCCGCTAAACAGTCAGCCCAGGACTCAAGAACTGAGCCTCCTCCTGCGGCGGAGCCGGCGCGGGCCTGAGGATTAAAGTTTTGGGGGGAAGCTTCCTCTGAGGAAGCCCAGGAGAACCGGGCACGGCTCCCTCGGGCGGAGCTCAGCCCTCACCGCCCTCCGGGACGCGCCCGGGCCCCGGCGGACACCGAGAGGTCTTTCCCCTCAGAGGAAAAGCCAGATCCCGTGAGGGCCGGGCCCGTTTGGCCCGGAAGGGAACCGGCGGCGGCAGCAGCGCTCCCGCGTCCCCCCGGCCCGGTGCGGGACCTGCCTGCCCCCCAGGATATTCTCCGCCCGCAGCCGATGCACCGTCTCATCACGGTCCCGCAGCCGCTCGTAGAGCTGGAGCAGAGCCACGGGCACGTCCAGGGCGGGCGGTGAGGGCGACTCGTCCTCGCCCTCCAGCTGCCCGAAGAGCTCGCGGTCCCCGAAATCCACCTCAGCCGCCATCTTGGGCCGCCACAGGAAGGGCGGGGCGGGGGCGAAGGGCGGCGGGAAGCGCGGGAGGCGAATGGCGGGACTACGGCTCCCAGCATGCACCGCGGCTCCGCAAAAAAACTGCAGGGCCTCACGGGGGCCGCGGTGCGCGCTGGGAGTTGTAGGCGGCGCGGGCCCCACTACACCGTCGTCACCAAACGAACGGAGGACTCGCTCCCGCTTTTGTTACCGGTTTTCCTTCTCTTCTGAGGGGTGGAGACAAAGACTGGGCAGGAGCTGCGCGACTATTTTTAAGTAGATTGTCCTACACTAAAGTCCCACACTGCAAATCTTATTTTGCCCACTTCAAAATAACCAAAGCAAAACTGACAATCCTTAGATTTTCCAGACCTCTCTTGGAGATTGGTCCACAATACAAATTAACATAAAGTAAGACCTTAGAGAAAAAAAATGTCTTTATTATTAACCAGTTTTTCTGCACTGGATTATGTGCCTATTGGCCCAGACTGCTAAATAACATCTACACAATGTTTCTTTTCATGTTTCAAGAATTGAAAATAACTGTACAAGGTTAAAGTACAAAAGTACACAAGACAGTGGACACGAAATATCCATATATGAGTTTATCCCATCTGCTGCTTGTTTGAAAAGTAGAACTTTTAACTAAAAAATACTGTCCTTCTCTAGTTCTGTCAAGTTTAATGGAAGTGGGCATAACCTGATTACAACACTAACACCAGTATCACTAATCTGATATTTACAAAAAAAATCGTATTTTTCAATAAATTAAAGTCAATGCAACACCCATGCTAGCTTTTTGGTGAACAAGGACCCAACATGTGAACAAGAACCTTCCACAGTCCCAAACTTCAAAACTGTTTTATGTTTTGTTATCCTTTTTCAAACTGCATCCATTCCTCTCATGGAAGATGTGAACCCCAATCCCATTCCTCGCTGTGTATGAGTCTGTGATCTGGCCATTTCATACTGTGCATCCAGATTTCTGAACACCTCCTCCTGCTGCTTCAGTGTTTTGTAACTCTCCTCATCCACGGAGCTGCAGCCAGCTTCATCCTCGCTCTGCAAACAGGGAGAACACGGACATCAGCTCTGGGGGTTCAGAGGCTGCGTCCTAAACATGACTGTTCTTAATAATTATTTCAATAGTAAAGAAAAATTAAATAAAATCAAATTTTAATAAAAATTAGATTAGTAAGAATTCAAGCATTTGAGTTGATTTATTCAAGCCTATTGAAATTTATTTGAATTTATTGCAGCAACATTCTATTCTCTGTCAAGAACAGAGGCCTTTACCCAGTTCCTTTTTCTAACTAATTTAAATAAATGTCTCCAATTAACTCATCTGTGCAAAGAAATGCTGCTTATCAGATTATGAATATTGGTTACAGCCACAACTGTTGTTCCAGACCACAACAGTTGCTCTGTTAGCCAGAAACATAATGATATATTCTACAATTTTAATTGAATCAGATCTAGATGCTACTTCTGAATTTAATAAATACCTAAAGTTCATAACTACATCATGTATTATTAGGTACCCTTATTGGGTAAGGCAGACTTTAAAATAAATAGAGAAATCACTATGCTACAATTAATATATTTGATTACATTCAGAATTCTTTACCTTTATGCCCATCAGTTTTCTGAACTTGACATTTTGGTCCTTGTTTCCAAAATTTAGTTTTTCCCATATTTCTGCAGATTGTGACTTATCCTGTACAGGGTAAAAAAAAAGATGTATCAACTTTCAGGCAAGTTTCCATTAATATCACAATACAGTAGCAAGCAAAGAAGGTGTTGAAATGAGCCCATTCTGAAGCACAACTGGAAGTAAAAGGTTTCCAAGTGTGACATTCCTGCAGTATCTTCCCAGGAACGCTGAGAGGGAAGTCTCCCTAACCACAGTGTCAAAACCAGAGGTATGTTCCTTCCTTGGGCACACTGTACTTCTTTCCAAAGATCTGGAAACCTTGTCAGAATTCCTGCTTGAAGTGAATTATGGAAAACCAAACTTGCTGATTGCGATTATACACAGCATAATTCAGGAAGAACTGCCTGGAAGGCATTCAGGGTTGTTCTTCCCTCCCTTCTGCCTCCCATCAATGCCATAGGAACCAGTTTCAGTTTCTCCCATCTTATGGAACAGCCTGTGACAAGCTAAGGGAGTTTGTTATGTAACTGATGCATGGTGGTACCTCACCTAAACAAACACTTCTGTACCAGCACAGAGTCAAAAGCCAAAACCAGAAATATTTTCTCAATTTTTCCCATAGTATCAGCAGGCAACTGATATCAAGAGTCCAACTCTTGATTTTAAAATTTTACCTCAGGCTGCTGTTAAAACAGGGAAACTTCCTGACAGGTATGAAAGTAATTTTGCTGGAAATAACACTAATAAGAATCTTTAAACTGCACGTAAGATCCTTCCAAACATGTTCACGAAGGCAAAAAAAGCCAACATTACCCCTTCCTTTTTGCCCTGCCAAAGCATCTTCCGTTTCTTCTCTTGCTCAGCAAATTTCATGGGGTTCACTGCTGCTGGGTTGTAATAGCTGGGAACAGCTATTCCAGTCTCTGCCAGGGCCTTGGCCTGGAGTGCTGCCATCTGAGCTGCCATTGCAATCTGAGGAGTCACTTGTGTTCCCGACGCCAGGAGAGCAGCGACGTTAATGACGGAGCCCCCGGTGGCTGCAGCCGCTGCAGAAAAGGAACTTGCTGTGAATAAGTTTGGACTTTGAGGAAAAAAACCTGACCACCAACCACCCCCCAAACCAAACAAAAAAAGCCTAACCCCCCAAATGCTTCCCTTCAACGAAAATAAGTTGAAAATGCACAAATAACAAATGCACGATCAAATAATGTTGTTTGTAAATTAAGAAACACATCTCCAGTAGTTTTAGTAAACCAGAAGTGAAACTAATGTACCCCAGGGTTCTAAATAGCCCTGAGCAGACAACAGCCTTCAAACTCTGATGCACAAAGGGTCCAATGACCATCACGAATCATGTACAGGCCTAACTACACAACATTTCCATTGTACACTCAGTAAGTGATAAGAAAATCCTGATCATTTTTCTTGGGGTTTTATGTTTCTTATTTTTGGTTTGGTTTTGTTTTTTTTCAAACATTTCTTCCTTCTGGTTGCTGTTCTTGTATATGGACCAAGTTAAGATTATACCAAGACAATCTGCCCCTTTGTTGGACAGGACTGTAACACTCAGCTCATAATAACATACTCTCAATAAGCCTATTCTTACTATCTTTCATTCACACTCCTGTTAATGAATAATATAATACACATGAACTACCTGCAGCCATTTCCTGTTGCTTCTGTTTTTCAACCATTTCCTTCTCTCTCTGTTCTTGCAGTTTCTTTGCTCTTTCCAGTCTAGAAGTACACGAAAATAAAAATATTTAGACATGCAAAAATCAACATCAGGAGCTTATTTATGTCCCATATCAATAAAATCCTAACAATTCCTGACCTCCTGGCTAATGCTTCCTGTGCATCCATAGCTGTGTTCCGTCCCCGGAAGGGCGGCGGGCTGGGACTCCGGCTGTGACTCCTGCTGAACCTTCGGGGCTTCTCGATTCTCTTCTTTCTCTCCCTGTAACCAAATTTTACAGTTGCTAAACCAATCAAAGGACATATGGAGCTTAACATTTCATAAAGGATTTCATCACAACACTACAAGTTTGCTTAGTGATTAATTTGGAGAGCTCTCAAGAGCTTTCACAGGGATTATGCTAGGACAGTGTAACAGCCAAACTCTCCTTGCAACACAGAGCTAAAACTCAAGTTTCCAACTGTAACAGAATGCCTGATTCTGGACATTCTAATTTCTAATTCTAATTTCTGGTAAAGTCAATTGCAAGAGAACTTAAAAATAATCAAGTTAGAAGAATGCTTTAAAATCACGAGACATCAAAGCATATTAATAATGAGCATTTTGAAGAGGTCCAGGTTAAGAACTGGAATAGTACTTAGGGAAATTATTATTACTCTCCCCTCTGCAAGCTCTTCCCTAAATGTGCTTTGGACAGCTGGCTGAAGGAGGCTGCCACACTGAATGTGAATGTGAGAGACCTGCTTTAAATATGTGATTTGCTCCTGAGAAGACCAGATTGTGCAGAGAACTATGAACATGAATTATCTGGAACCTGACCATCAGAAAAGCACCCAGTTAAAATGTATTTTTAAGCAAAATACCAAAATATTCAGTTCAATTCTCCTTGAATAGCCTTCTCCCCACCTCATCCCAAGCAGAAGTCATTCTCAGGACATATACACTTCATCCCATCTAAACAACAGCCACTCCAAATACACATATAAAGTACTATTAGAGCAGTTCTCTGTGCCAGGATCATCTGACCCATTCTGACCCATCTGACTTAAGGGCTAACTGGAGGTAACAGAATGACAACAGCAACCTTACATGGCAGTCAGGTACTCTCTTGCTTCTGTTTGCACCTTGGGCAGCATCTACAAACACCATGAAGTTACAAAAAGATCCTTGTTTACATGACATATCTGGTAGAATACAAAGGAGGCAAGACTTATCTTTTCAGAGAAGATGACAAGATGCAGATTCAGGCACTGGGAAGTGACAGATCTGCATTCCTGAGATAAGATGTAATGCATGTTTCAAAGATACCTTCATTTTCCCGGGCTGACTACTGTAGTTTGGTCTTGTCTTTGGTCTGATGCTTTATTGCACTGGTAAACATCAAGGAAATAAGTATTTGAGCTTTTGTATTTAAGTATTTCCATTTGAAACAAGCAGATGGTGTCATGTTTTCCACCTAGCATTTAGGTAGAGCCATAGCATGAAAGAACTGCCAGGAGGCTCTACACAAAAAGATTAGTTTAAATGCCAGTGAGGACTCAGATCACCTGAAAAGCTGAGCTTGAGATTATGCAAAGGACCATCAAGAGAAGGTCAAACTCTACTGTTTGCAAATGCTTCTGTCACACAAAAACCACTGCATTTCAGGAGTGAGGGAAT